ATTATTATTATTATTATTATTATTATTATTATTATTATTATTATTATTATTTTGCTGTTTCCTCCTTTCATCTGAACAAGTTTCTTCATTATCCATCTCTGATCTTTCTATCAATCAATCATAAAGACAGGAATGTGGTGCCCTAGGTAAAATTGGGACAGTCTGCAGCTTGAATCTCACAGGGGCTCTGTTAGAAAGAAAACCAATGTTGCAAAGCTTGCATTAAGTTTTTCTAGGCCAGTATTAAATTACACTAATAGGTCATTTGGCACAGGAACTGACCTCCATGTGTATAAATTGATAGCTATAATTGTTACTCCCATTTTTCAAAACATGAGCATCCTTCTAATACCCATCTTCTCAACCTCAATAAAAGACCCAAACAAGTCTCTTAGGTAGCATCTGTTGTACTTGTGGATATGCAGTGAAGTTCCTTTGTTCATTTTTTTAAACAAAGGTATCTTCCATTGGGCCTGTGAGGCTCTTTATTGGTTGCAGTTTCAGTGTGTGTCATGAAACCTGCCAAATCGGTTTAATTAATTGCACCCCAGCATTAACTATTTGTACACAAGAGCAAACCAAAAATTGTTAATCTAATCCTTAAAACAGAGATTAGGACTATTGTGCCTTAAAAAGCGGAGATGAATAAACTCAAATCCATTAGAGTGACTTTGGTCTAGGCACAATTCCAGTCTACTTGGACTACAAAACATTTCTTTCAACCCAGGGATGTCCAACCTTGGCAACTTTAAGATTTGTGGACTTCAGCTCCAAAATTCCAACCACCTCTGTTCTTCACTGTGCCTCATTGTCTTTGTCCCATTTGATCCGTTTATTTTCATGTTTGCTTTGTTTGGCTTTCTACAAATGAACATGAGGAGAATCCAAATCATCTCTTTTCAATATTTTTCTACATTTTACCACCTTCTTCTTACCACTTTGAATCTTCTTCACTCTTCTATCTTCTTCTTGAGAACTCTCCAATTGCCCTGTACCTGCGCAGCATCCCAGCATCATGTTTAAATTCTGCAAAATACATTAAGGATGGGCAGAGTTAAAACTGCAATGTTATGTTTGCATGACACAAGTGGTTAATAGAATAACAGATTAACAGAGTTGGAAGGGACCTTGTAAGTCATCCTACAATCCCCCACCCAAGCGGGAGACCCTACACCATTTCTGACAGATGACAGTCCAGTCTCTTCTTGAAAACTTCCAGTGATGAAGCTCCCATAACTTCTGAAGGCAGGCTGTTCCATTGGTTGATTGTTCTCACTGTCAGAAAATTAAAGTTAAGATGAAAATAGTTAAACCAATTTAGCGGGTTTCATGGCAACTGCAGCCAAGTACACATGACTTTAGGTTTGCTGAAAATATTAGGCGACATATTCTTGGTTATTTACAGTATGTCAGACAAACACAGTTTTAAACTGTGTCCTATTGAAGCTTTAAAGTTGGGAGAGATGGGAAAAATGAAGATCATGGACTGTCCTGGTCAATAAACTTTACCTGATAAAAGGGAATGCAGAGACCTTTGGGAATAGGAAAATACTATTTATAACTTAGAATGTTATCCATGCGTACCTGTCTGACAGTGAGATGGAATCCAATACTGTGTACTAGAAAAAAGGATTGGTGGCACGGCAGACATCTCAAAAGAAACCCTCCTTAATCTCTTGGACTGTAAAGGCAAAGTGAGGGGAGGATGTACTTTCAGACTTCTGTTAATGTCATCTTACAATAAAGCAGATTTAGAACATCTAGTCATGCTTCCTGTTGGGACTACCCCACCTGGCTGACACTAACCTAGCAATAAAAGCCAAATAGTTTTG